CACATCTGGTTCCGGTTTCGCGTCTTCCCTCGATCCACCTCTAGCCGTTTGAATGATTTCTTTGGATCGTTGCTTGCCTTTATGCAGATCAAGCCCTGCAGTGCCTGAACCTGCACCTGCTGCATCTTCCTTTGACTTTGTCTTGCCGGTATGCAAATCTAGCTCCATGCCCTCCTTCGATTTGCCTCTGCCTCTACGTGATTCTTCTGCCGATGTCAGCCTGCCCGTATGAAGATCCAACTCAGCACGTGCTGAGGCCACTGCAACTGCATCTTCTTTGGATTTCGCTTTACCTGTGTGTAGGTCGAGTTCACTTACTTCCTTTGACTTTCTTCTACCTGTACGGACAGCTTCTCGCGAGATCACTTTGCCCGTATGCAGATCGAGTTCATCTGCTCGCTCCTTAGGTTTTGCTCTTTTAGCGTGTAAATCTGACTGCGCGTCTTCTTTGGACTTACCTCTACCCGTGTGGATATCTTCTGATTTCACTCTACCCGTATGAAGATCCAACTCAACCACTTTCCTAACTTCATTTGATTCATCGGATTTTCCCTTGCCCGAATGGGCGTCGCTTTCCATCGATTTCGCTTTACCGGTATGAAGATCACCTTGCAACGCCCTTCCAGAACTGTCCTCTGCTTCAGCCTTGCCTTGTTGTTGTTGTTGTCCTCTAGGTCAGTTTTACGTTTCTGTTCACCGCTCTCAACTTGATTCTTTATCTTTTTGTCGCCTTCATTCGGTTGAACACTCTGAAATTTTAGCTGTCAATATGTCTGATGACATGAATCAATCGAATTTTGAGCGCAAATACCATTCTTTGGTTAGTATCATTTACATGAATTAATTTGAAAATTCAACATCCGAAACTGAACCTCTTCGCGATTCTCGTCGATCATTGAAGACTGACTCTCGCTTCTGATTTGTTCTGTTGTTGGTGCTGCGGATGCATATTTCTATGAGAACAAGCATTATGTTAATCGTGTTTGAAGAGCGTTTATTTGTTCCGAAGCTTTGTTCAATCGAAATCGAACTGGCTGGGGCTAAGTATGTAAGTTTCGGGCAAGAAAATGATAGTCCGGAATCAGTAAGATTGACTTATGAACACTTTAGATAAGGTAGAGGTGGAGAGGTTAATTAAGGCACATCAGCTATGATCAATCATCAATTGTGATTCAGTGATCATTCGTTCTTCCTCAGGATAATCGCTGAAAAGATGAGCGCTATGATAATTTTACTTTTTTGGCATTATTTCCAAGAATGTTTCCTCTGTTTCCGGAGTTAGATAGAAGAAACTGCGATCAGTTCGAATCGTTGAGAATCACCTTGAAAAGTAGATATAGAAGAATAACGACGACAACGGCAAGCACAAGCGTTGTGGCGCTCATTTTCGCGTTCTTCTTCCTTTCGTCGTCAACCACACGACGACAATAAAATGAAATACAATAATTATGAGTAGACTTAAAGCTATTTTTATACTCATCAAACTATTCAAATTTTGCGAATAGAATTTGAAAATTTGCAAAAGTCTCACGGAAATTTGACTGCTGAGAGTAAAATGTTAAACAAATTGATTTAATTTGAGAGGAGCTATTGCAAGTCATATATGTCAATTTCGGGTATTCAATTTCGGCGAAATCTCATTGTCAGTTTTTTTTTCTGGACGTATTGAACTGACTGATTTTGTTCGATACCGCATTTGCACGAGAGATTTACTTTGATTTATAAGTTGTTGAACTTTTTTTTGAAGGACATTTGCATAGACAGCACTGAGGTTTTGCTTTCAAACAATAGGCAAACGATTATAAATAAACTGAAGAAAAAATATTAAAGTTGCATTCATACAGTCAATCACTGTTGGCATTTAGGCTGTGCTGAGCGGTCATTTCAGTTTATCGTACCGCTTTTTCGGGGGATCGTGATGGGTGTGATAACGTTCGCTCTCATATTAGCACTCGTTTATCTGACGTTCACCTTTTTGCAGGTCAACTTTCAATTGCTACTGAATTTGCATTGTGTATGCAGGACACTTTTCGTACATTCAGACCTCTGATACTCCAATGCACAAACGAGTTGAGGTGCTACATTAGAGATGTTAATTTCGAAAATGAAGTTTTTATCCTTGCAGAAGTATTTGGATGATGAAACAGAACAACGTGAAGAAGACAGCAAGGAAACGAACGTGAACAAGAAGGTACTGAGAGTGTTCCGAAGAACTTGAGAGAGTCGTTGTAGATTTCTTTCGCTTGCTCATCAAAAACACCTGAAAAACAAAATCTATTTTGTGATTTGCAAAGAAAACATCGGCATGGAGCAGTTGCTTCGTGAAACATTATTGATTGATTTTGTTGTTCTGCTCTATTCATTTACCGTCGAAAAAAACTTCGCACAGTTTTCCAGGAAATTGAAGGCGCAGCAACATTGAGTAAGTCAGGAATAACGTCTGTAGCGTCACCAGATCGAAGTGTCCGAGCCAAACAAAGCTCTGAATTAGTCAGACTGTTTCCGTTTCCACTATCGAATCATACTCTCGCTCAGTATCAAATTTCTGACACATTCGAAGTCCTATAAAAAAAGTTTTTATTTGAAAACGGTCTCACAATGAAATCATCGAAAACTTCACATTGAAACTTGTTATTGTTATTAAGATTGGCGAAACATTTTGTGAATTGAGGAAATTCCCTGAAAATCACGCAGTTACCAATTAGTTTAGGACGTAAAACTGGATGATGCAACATTAAGAGCGATACCTGAAGTGCCAACGATAACTGGCGATGGCAATGTTAATACGGGAGAAGCAATCGTATCTCCGTCGAAACGCATATCGAACACAACATTGAATTCAACCACGAAACGAGTATCTCCCAACAGAGCCACATCATCGATTCCAGCGAGCGTTCGGAAAGCAACTGAAAAGAACACATCAGTAAAGGCATTGTTCGGTAGAAGCATTCGAGTAGGCTGCGCTTTCAGTGGTTCATCTCTTTTTTTCGGCTGTTTTCATCGTTATGAATGCAAAACTTTGAAGATGCTTCCAATGGTTCGTAGTGATTTTGGGCATTTCCATCTGATTTCGTGTGTGAATCAGATGGAAATGCTCAATAGCGGTGCCATTGTCCGATATATTTTGTAGACACAGACTGGAATAGTTGCTGCTGAGGTGAATCATAGTCTTTTGGGTAGTTCTAAATGAACTTCGATTTCAGGATGTCGAATCACCTTCAACAACTACGAAAACAAATCAACCTGATTCGGCAACGGAGCAACAAAATGCTCAACATGAAAATGTTTTGTGTTATCGCATTGATTAATAAAAACTTTTCATTGCATAGATTCATAATATAAAGCCATGGTCTACTCGAGTTAGTTCGTCAATAGATTTAGATTTGTACGCACACTTAAATTTAACATTTAAAAGAACTCATTCATAAAATTTTGTGATATTGGAAAATTTCAAGGTGAACGCTGCTGGCAAACTAAACGAGATAGACACATCGTCCTCGAAGGAAATCTTGAATGCACTGCGAAAGGCTCAATTGAAGGTGCTCAGTAATGTTTCTATTCATTTTATTCAACTGAGGGTCTCGAACTTTGCATAGTTATCCAACAAAAAAGCGTTCAAACACTTTAAACGAAAATCATTTTTGCAGAGGCACTATCAAACTTGAAATTTAATCACTCACAACAAAAAAATCCAATCCTTACAGATGAATCAAATTCCACCATGGGAGTTGGACAGAGGCAAGTACAATCCGGAAGAGTATTGGAAGAAACAAACGAAAAACGCGCTCGACTCTTTGAGTAGTCAAAGAAGTGTTGTATCTGAATAAATAAAATCTACGTATAAATTGCAAGGAAATGATCTGAACTTATCATGGTCTTTCACGATGAGATACCAATCATCAATGATGTCTCGTTGAGATGACTGAGAACCTCTCCCTTGTATTTGCGTAATGTCTATGAGCTGGGACTTATAAGAGCTGATATGTCATGTCCGAACGTGATGAACAAATCTCATCCGGAGAGATTGTGCTACTTTCAGACCGTTTTCATGTTTGAAAATATTCTGTATTGAATCGAAGTATATTTGATGATATAATGGATAAAATATTTGACAAATTAGTCACTTCTTGAAAAAAATTCATACATCGCTTGATCACTGAAGCGGTGATGCTTGGTGGCGAACGAATGGAATTGCGATGCTTGCAATGAAGCAGAATGTGGAATGTTTGACTTTGTTCTGATTGGAGTTCCATGAAAGCATGCCGAATTGTGCATGCAATGTTCGAGAATCGAGCGAACAAGCGTTGAATTTGTCAATGAAATCCGAATGGCGAATGCAAAATTTGTATTTCCAAAAGTTTAATTCCGGAATTTTCCGTGCCAATCCTTATCATTTCGTAAACTAACAGTTCAACGGAGCGGTCAACTGTTAAATCATTCTTACCGAACGCATCGGAAAAGAATCGTATCTGGAAACAATATGAGTGCCGTCACGCTGATACTGGCCGTTGTTGTCATCATTCTTCTTTATTTACTCTTCAAGGTAAATGGGTTTCACGACTTCATTCACTGAAAATTTGAGAATTTCGAAAAAATTTCACTCCAATTGTCGCGATTTATTAATCGAAACGTCTCGAATTATTACCGTTGTGAATGTCTTAACGCAAAATTCGCTTTCTTGATGAAAGACAGTGCGGTTTTGACTGGTCCCCATAGGTCATCGAACAACATGACCAAAAAAAGTTTAAAAATGCATCGTCCGCACATTCATCGTTTTCAATGATGCAGAAGTATCAATCTGGATCTGAGGCGAACGAACTAAGTACCACTGCAGATATTNCGCACATTCATCGTTTTCAATGATGCAGAAGTATCAATCTGGATCTGAGGCGAACGAACTAAGTACCACTGCAGATATTAATGATAAGTCGAAGCATCAAACGGATCGTAGTAACCAGTCCAAACAGGTATATAATATCGAACGAGATCATATAGTTCCAAATATATTCCACTAGGTTTTGGGGTATTATCAGAACTATTTGAGGAAAATAATTTAAAGCACAGATAACGTAAGGAAAACAGTCGTTCATGTAGACTGGTTCACATAATCAACGACTCAGTACTGAATAGGGTAATGATTAAAGTTTGCATACAAGTTAGATCAGCAGCAGAAGTCAGGAGCGTTGCCATTTCATCACTCCGTGCATTTCATTTTTGCTTTGTATATCATTTATTGTGTCTTTCATGATGCAATTCATTTGATAAGTTGATCATTCATCGCGCATTCAAATGAAGGAAAACGACTGATCATGAGTTGCGAATGGGATGGCGTATAATTGATGTGATCTCTTAGGCGAGAACTGTATCCAGTGATCAAGTTGAAGCAAATGCAACGGCCCTAGGTCATGCGAGTGAAAATATGGTGAGTGAACGGGGCGAGAAAGATGTTAGAACTGCACAAAAGCCAACGGAACAAGAGCTGAAAGCCGAAAGGGATGTCCGAACAGCCCAGAAGCCAACGGAGGCAGAGTTGAAAGCCGAAAGGGATGTCCGAACAGCCCAGAAGCCAACGGAGGCAGAGTTGAAAGCCGA